CAGCGTTGACCGCTCGATAGCGCCGCTTACCCGCGCTAGAAAAAATCAGTCCGGGAACTTTCCGGACAAACTGTGTACGATTTAAGTTTCTGCGTCAAAAGGTAACATTGTTATTATATATGTTCTATTTTTTATTTTTTTTGCTCTCTCTCTCTCTTTCTTTCTTTCTCTCGCATGCCGTATTTTTGTATTTACGTGACTTTTACATTTGAACTGACGAGAATATTTATTCTAGCATACGGTCTCGTTACAGTGATAAAAGTCGAGCGATAAATCGGCGAACGACTCTCGGCCAGAGACGGCGCGGGCGCCATCCGAAGCAAAATTAGAGAACAAAACGAGAACGTAAATCGTCGTTAAACGATCTTCGCTATCGATCCGCATGCGTGCTGTCGCATAAAATTAATTTTCCAAAGTACTCCGTCTGTTTTCTTATCACCTTCGCTCGCTCGATAATTTAGATTTAGACGCGCATACCTCACTTTTTATTCCGCGGTGAAGTTTCTTAAGTGTGTTTACCTCCTATACTTCCACAAGATTCCGTTTCGTGATCCATGACAAATTGCCGATTGCCTCAAACCGCAAAACAACCCCCTGTGCTATTTTAAAAAACATTGGCGTAACCTACTTTCCGGATCCGAACACTCCACAAACAACAGCTTGCAAAATTCAAATTAACAAACTGTTCCCACTTGAAGAGATAGGTTGCTAAAAGAACGCAAAAAGTTTATTTGCATTTTCTGATGTATTCAAGTTCGTTTTTGCATTTTGTATCTAAATTTTTTTGTTAGTGTATGTGTGTTAGTACTTGAAATTTTATGAAATTTTTACGAAATGTTTCTCTCTCTCTCTCTCTTTCTTTCTTTTTCTGTGCAGACACACTCTCTTTTACACTGACAAGAGAAAACGACAATCGATCCAATTACGTTCCACGTTTTAGCGGAACGCTACATTCGGTATATCACGGAATTTGCGTGCTATCAAAAATATGGCGGAGGGAACGATGCCGACGGATGTGAGATCCAAGATGCAGAACTTGATCCGAGAGTTTGAAATGCACGCGAGTCTTGCGTCAATCAAGGGCGAAAGTACGTTTTTGAAGTCGTCGACTTCGAGCGGCAGCAACGTCAAGAAGAAAATCGAGATCTTTAACTTGTTGAGCGCACAATCATCTATGAAAGATGTTAAGATGCAACCAGAAAAGAGCTTTTCGAGTCCCGCAGTATGTGGCAAGCCCAGCAGCAATCCATGTGGTTGGGACAAATCCGAGGTATCTTCTTCTTTACCTTCTGTCTTCAAGAAAACGCACGACTTTGAAAATGTCAGTCATTATCGCTCGAAGAACAACGAGAAAACGGATCTGAAAAGATGGTGGGGAATCACGAACATGTACAATTCTCTGAACAAGCTGACGAGAGCTTCGTCGAGGTTTCTAAAGAGACGTGATAAAACTACCAAGACGAAAGACAAAGTTTCCGGCAATTCCTTGGAAAACGATGACAGCGATGATACATGGAAGAGTGAGGCGATTGACATATTATTATTGAATCGCTCGCGAGTATCGTGCAATTCCACTAATAGCAGCTACACCAATTTAGAGATCGATATATTTGACTTTGAGAACGAAGAACGACGGCCCGACGGTTTCTCGAGTTATTTCAAGTCATCGCGCGACAACACATTTAACGAACGTGACTTCGACAGCTTGCTGAACTCATCTGCTTATAGTGAAGCCATCAAGGAAGATTCAAAGATTGAAACATCGCCGGAGCCGATGACTACTTCGCCAATCGAACGAAAGCTTTCGACGAAAGATGACGAAGATACATTCTGGACGCCAACGCGAGACACGAAGTTATCGCAACGAAAATCAATCGGGAAGCTGCTTTCGATGGTTGGCAGCAAATTGAAAACTATCGGAACAAAGTCACCGAAGAAAGAAGAGCGGCAATGTACGTATTCCGATTCGGGATGCGAACAGTCCTTGTCTCGGACCGATTTGAACTGTTCGTCTTTATCGCAAAAGTCGCGCTCGTTCGCCGATCTCAATTCCGTGGACAAGGAACCGTTGGCACTTTCGACGCCGACCTTCACAACTTTCGGTCACGCCTATAGGCATCACGCCAGCAGGAAGTTGGACGAACATCCTGGAACGACGTTCGCCGAAGTATCCTGCGAGGAAGTTTCTCACCGGCAATTTGAAACTTCCCGTTCTGAGTTTCTGGATGATCACACGCCGAAGCGATCAACTTCCATCGAAAAACGCAAAGTGCACTTTACGAGCAATGCTGTTTCGATACCCGGAACTGGAGAAAACCATCATTACCGCATCGACTTACCGCAGAAGTTCTCCGATGAACATCCGTCGTTTCCTCCGAATCCTCCGTCGGAGGATGTGTCTCGATTACGAAAAAGAAGAATCTCCAAACAGTTCGTTGCGTTCGAAGAAAACGATCAAACGGGAGACGAAGCGTTGTCAACGGAGGAAGAAGACGACGTAGAAGTGAGTATGCACAAAAGCAATATGACGGTTGAACACAAATTTCTGACATCCAATCTGAAATGTTTGAAGGCATCGCTCGATTGTGAGTCATCAGTATCGCCTGTACTTTCGCCTCCTCCACTTGCGACGTTTGACATTTTGAAGAGCGAGATGCACAGAAGGACTTCGTCACCGAAGAGCAAAGAGTAATTTAGAATATTTTATTAAATACAAAAATAATATATTTTCTTTTTACATTTAATGATAGAAATTATTAAAAGTAAAAAATGTCATTCTCTCTCGTTTTTTTATAAAACTTTTTTTACTTAAAGTTTTTTGATTTTTCTGCGCGTTAAAAATATAGTTAATTATATATGTGTACAATAAAACATATAAATAATATAATCTAATAAAAAAAAAATGTTTTAAAATGTTTTAACTTACGATTCGTGGCTATATTATTAGTTTCCAGATAGAAGACTCAACAAACGAGTATAAAAATGAAACAATTCAGAAAATCTTATCATTTCTTCATCGGAAAATATCGCCTGGGGATGCATCCGATAAGATATTCAGACTGGATCCCTCGTTCTCCGCTTTTGCTAACTTGTATCAACAGAGCGAACCTCACCGTTACGCCACCGTGAATCCGAACAACTTAAATTTCTTCATGTCTTCGAAGAAATTGCAAGAAATGGCAACGAATTGTAACGAAATGAAAAGTTACTAAAAGCATAAAAAAAAGCAAAACTTAACTAGGACAAATAGGTCTTTTTTTAAACAAAGTTTGAGAGATTTTTATTAAAGAGAAACGTAATGCGACGATATAACTTATGTATAAGTGTATTTTTGCAAATTTTATCGAAAAAAAAACATAATCACTTTACTTCACTGCAAGTTTATTGTAAATATTGCGCGCGGATTTTACAAATGGCGTCACACGCGATATGGTTTGAGTTTTTTTGAAAACGTTACATTAGGATTTTAGAATTTTATTTAAGGTTTTGTTTTTCTTTTTTTTTTTTTTTTGTACAAAGGTCATCAATGTCTCCACATTTACTAGATCTAGAGTTACTTCATATTTTCAATCAAATATTTCATATTAGAAGTGCGTGTTGTTTTTTTATTGCGTAGAATTATTGAAATACTCGTAATTAGAATGATGCACGAGTCATGTTGCGTAAAAAATTCTACATATAACGCGTCTAATTCAAAATATCGAGTGTTTCCAGATCCAGCAAAAATACAAAGACATTGATGCCGGCCTCTGTATACTATAAAAAAAAAAAAAAAAAAAATTTATCTGACATTCGCGAACACTTCCTGCCATTTGTCTCTTTCTCGATAAAATTTGTACCTTTCAAGTCTATGATCGCAATATCGCAAGGAATTTCGTTCATTTCTCACGAAATGATACACGAAGATTCGTTTGAAAAGATTTTTTTTTTTACTAATATATTACGCAAAAGAAATAGAAAGCGATATTATGATTTATCTCCCGTGACGAAGATACGATCCTCGAGTCCCTCATATTTCTCGCGGAAATATCAAAGGAGATCTCGAGTGGCATCGAGCGGATTGCCATTTACACAACAATAGCAATTTTTGACACACAGAAACCCGTTCGACATAGAACAACGTGTATTATAAGTGTTGTATATCGTTTATGTAAGAGACAAGTGACATTCTGACTACATTATTGCATACGTATGATTGTGCAAGTGATAACGCGAACAGACTTAGATGTATAAATTGTATAAATAGATAAGAATTTTTTTTGAACACTTCTGGAGAATCTTTGTATTCGAATTACGACGTCAGAAGCGAGAAATCGCGCGAATGTTCGTCTCGCGGCTTACATTGAAATAAATTGGTTCTTTCACGCGTCACCATCGATATTTGAAAGCTCACAGTGGCGAGGTCCGTCGAAAAATTCCTTTTCGATTCAGGCTACTAAATATTTATAAATCTCGGATCAATTGTCATAAGGTTTATTGTCGCTGAAAACTTACAACGTCAAACGTAGATTGAATTATATACGCATTTATCGCTGCCGGAAAACGAGAAAAAGAAGAATTCGGCGAATGTTTTTCAATGTAAGCTTTCGAACGTTCATGGTGGCATGTGAAAAAAAAAAACCCGTTTCATTTCTCGATGTAAGTTGCAAGACGAAAATTGATACAACCTCTCGCTTCTGACGTCACAATTCGAACACATCTACAGAAGCACCTAGAAGCCTTGAGAGATATCCTGCTTTTTCCATTTCCCGTTTCCTCAACACAGTTATGTATTATTTTTAGTAAATAAAAATTTTGTATATTATCACACTCTTTATGTTATAAAAAAATCAATGCAGGTTTTTATGTGTATTGTATATATATGTTTTTGAATTTTTAATAAAAAATTACGCACGAAAAATTATCCGGGATAAACTTCTTCTTCTTTCTTCTGCAGCCATCGTTCAAAAATAATCTTTGTTTTAGTGATGTTTATGAATCTGAAGTTAATGACATGCACACGCGATAGATCGTTTCAAATGTCGGTGAAATGGAAATTTCGCGCGACGGAATTGGTGCAAATTTATGCCCTGACGGTCGATGTCAAGACGATTTGCATGAAATTCGTACTCAAACGCGCTATACATACGTGGACGTCGTGACAACGATCATCCGGTGATCATCCGGTATATGAAGATCTCGGACATGCGAGCGCAAGGACGTATATATGTATATACTAGCCGAGCAGTGGCACTTCGCGCTTGCTGTCTCGTAATGCAGTGGAAATTGCACGTAACGATGCGAGAGGCATTATCGTTTCGCGGTTACGCGAAATGGCAGAGAAATTTTCCTAAGAATAACCACTTGCTTTCGAGAGAATTCTCTCGAGTTGTCGCTCAAGTTTTGTCATGCACGTTGAAGCTTACGCGAGTCACGACTTTCTTAATATCATGGAGGACACGTTTATCTCATACGCTTCGTCAAACGCAATTTAGTTCGTAGAAGATTGTTTCAATTTTATATATATATATATATATATATATATATTTATCTAACTACTTGGCAAAATCGTAATAAGAAACAGTTCTTCATTTTGTTCTACAAACAAAAATTCAATAAGTCGGTTAGAAACAAGGATACAGAGTGTATAAAAAGTATCAAAATATCTCGAAAAATATAAGTTTTACAGAAAAGTGCTTCAGACAAAAGTTGTAGAATTTAAAAAGATCTATTTTCTGATCTTATAACGTCGTCAAGGTAAAGTCAAGGTCGCATCAATTTTTTTAAATAGAATTTCTTAATTTTTATTTTATATATCCTTGTAGCTTAACTCAAGAGCTTTTCCAAACACTATAATGAAGTTTATTTTCATTAAGTATTTTTTGAGTTATAAAGATTGAATGTTAGAGTACCGCTGGCATTATCCAAGGTGTTCTACCCGATCGAATTTACACACCTCTTGTGTGTGTGATCCAGCCAACTAAGGCAAGATTACTATAAGAGAAGATTACTATTGCTTAGTCGACTGGATCACACGTACAAGAGATGTAAATGCGATCGAGTAACCTCTATGTACCTGGTATACCTTGGATAATGCTAGTACTCCAACATTCCATCTTCATAACTCAAAAAGTATTTGATGAAAATTAAACTTAAGTGTTTTGGAAAGCTCTTGAATCAAGTTACAAGAATATGTGATACAAATAGAGAGTTCTATTTAAAAAAATCGATGTAATCTTGATCTGACCTTGGCGACGCCATCGAAGATCAAACTGATAAGATCAGTAAGTAAATCCTTTTAAACCCTACAACTGTGTTGTCCAAAACACTTTTCTGCAAAACTTATATTTTCCGAGATATTCTGGAGTTCCGGTACTTTTTATATACCCTGTATACGTATCAATTATATCAAGACAAGATTGAAACAATCTTATGTACGATTGTATATAATTATACATAAATTATAGAATTTGTTTATATATGAAGGATTTTACTTTTGTAGTCGTCAAATTATTTTAAATATGATAATATTAGAGATGTCAAAATTTATTGGCGTTTCTTTTTATTAAAAATATTTATTATTATAAAAATATTTATTATTATTAAAAAGTATTTATTTTTCCTTAAAATATTTCTTCTTTCTTTGTATCTTCTTCCGCCATCTATCAAATAATTGATAGATTGTTTTCTGGATAAGAAAATAATTTCTGAGATCTAGAGGCAATGAAGTTATTAATACATTTTTGAATGTCTTCCATATTTCAAAAGTGTAAACCATCAAAGGTATGCTGCCTGAACAAATAACGATCAGAAGGCACAATGTCTGGAGAATACACCGGATGTGATAAAACTTCCCATTATTGTTTTTTGCGTCGCAAGAGCCACGTGAAAACGAGCATTGTCGTGTAGCAGAATAACTGGTTTAGGTTTCACCAGTAAATAGTCGTTTTCTGTCTGTTATACGATCGGCTTGTAACAGTTAACAAGTTCTACACTCGATTGGGAATTATTTTGATCCAGCAGTCCTTGGAAATTGTCAGATTTCAAGTCTTGGCCTTCCAGACTGTGGTTTGTCGCCGAAGTTGCGAAATCAGCAAATTTCGAGAACCACTCTTGACACGTTCTCGCACTCAACATTTTCTCCATACGCAGAATAAATCAGTCTTTGTGCTTTTTCAGCTGTCTCGCTCGAAGTAAAACTGGAATAACACGCAGTGCACTTTATCGATCTTCATTTTTAAACACACCAGAACAAACTTTATTCGTTAAAGATTATGATAATTCACAAAGCACATACAATGTAGAAATACAATATAGAAATGCGTGAGATGGAAAAGCAAGGTCACATCAACAAAGCCGAAGGCCATAGAGCGCCACTGATATGACGCCCGAGAATATTTTTACACTTTTAATAATTATATTATATTAATTATTTTCATAATACTTCGTAATAATTATTAAATAATAGAGCAGTATTTTTTACTTTTTAAACTACTAGCACAACACAGGCGCGTGCTACGCGTACGTTATTGTTATTTTTATTTAACGTGTTGTCAGTGAATACAACCTGTCACCGCGATGACAGATAGTATATACGTCTTATAACCATATAATACACATATGAGAAATGTCAGAAATAACGCATGAAAAAAACTCAAAAAATAGTGAGAGAGAGCAGTGGAAAAACAACACGTGACAGGGAAAAAGGTAAAAAAGAGAATATTATATATATTATATGTAATATTCTATATCTATATATAATACACACAGATACGCATATATGTATATATATATATATATATATATATACCGTAATCACGTGACCGAAGTCAGTAACACCGCCGCGGTCGCGCGACCGAGGTCAGTGACCCCGCCGCGGTCGCGCGACCGAGATCAGTGACCCCGCCGCGGTCGCGTGACCGAGGTCATTGACCCCGCAGCGGTCGCGCGACTGCAGTCAGTGACCCCGCCCCCACCAAGGCCGCGCGCCCGCGGTCACTGACCCCGCCAAGGCCGCGCGGCCGATGTCAGTGACATTACTGTAGTATGTATATAATACATAAAATACAATATAAAGTATAATATTATAAATATATAATAAATTATATGTATAATATGTATTATTTAATGTTATATATAATATAAATTACAGTCACGTTATTTTCACGTGTTGTTTTTCTACTCTTTCCTGTCACGTGACTTTAGTTACGTTTTTAATTTTCTCTCTACATATACGACGAACTGTCTCAAAATCGCTTTTCATTATTTACTCTCTCGATCTTACCGATTCGATTCGACTCGATCAACCAACCAACCAACCAATCTGCAACGCGGAAAAGAGGCAACAATAGATGCGATACATTCGACTCCAAAACGCGCACTTCTCGGTCCAAATGCCCTTTTTTATATAGGTCGGTTTTAATTTAAAAATTTGAGATTAATTAAAACTTTTGCGGTATTGCTTGTTCTCTTTTTTGAGACTCGTTTAAACATAATCTGAAAATTTCTAATTGTTCTCTATGACAATAATGATAATTTTCGTCGCTCGTTAAGTAGCCGAGAATAGTACACGAAGTTAAGAGTGGTCTCTATTATGCTTTCTCTCTCTCTCTCTATTTCTCTTTTTCTCTGTTTTCCTGAAAACTCAATTAATTTTCAAAACCGCATCGAGTTCGTGCCCGACTTCATCCTTTGTCCTCGACATTCAAATTGATTTTCGCGTGCCGAATTTGTTACGTTCTTCACTGTGTGTGTATGTGTGAAATATCACAGAAGTATATAGTTCGTAAAACTCTTGCGGATTTAAAAAGAAGACTGACATGAATTTATTTGAAGTTATATTTTCCATTTATATCCACGAAAATCAGAATTTTTCGCTTGAAAATTGTAAAAATCCCATGTCATTCTCTTTTACTATTGCTTTGTCTATCTGTTTCGATTCTCACGTGGATCGCTAAAAAAAAAAAAAAATAAATCATGGACAGACTATCGTTGATGTTTTGTTTTGTTTTGTTTTTTTTTTTGACAGGGATTTAATCAAATTCTGAAACAACGCGAAGTAACGTTTTATACGTGTCATCGAACCGCGTTGAATAAAATATCGAATGGCGCTTTACGGCAAAGCGGGAGAGAGATGCGATGCGCGGCACTTGTTTGTGCGATGCGCTACTCGGGTTTAATGATGTGTTATTTAATCCACAAAGTAAATTTTTAAGCTTAAGTCCTGACCCGCTTGAGTATTTGCCAGATTCGACCCCTGCATTGTGTACGGAATATATCGACGTTCGATGACGTAGCTGGTTGCGTCCGTAGTTTTCCGCCCACGCGTCGGAAAGCGAACGATGTGACGTAAATACCTCTATTGAAAATTCACTCACATGCGTACATACAGTATGTCGGGGAGATATGTTCTTCCGAAGTTACGTTCTTTTATCGATACCCTGACAAATTTTGAAAATGTTTTCGTCACGTAACTTTTATATAACGTCGTTATCTAGTTTTGCATCGTTCCGACAATAAAACAACCAACGTTCAAGAAATCCAGAAAAAACAACTGCCCTGCGTTTTTTATAGTACGTACTAATTGAACAAAATAATACCGCGAAAAGAAAATTTTTCATGATTTTATGAAAAACCGAAATAGTGTAACAAGAAATCCCTTTCATGATTATCCGCAGCTTTTGAAAACGAGCCGTGCTTAAATCTTCCCAAACTGAAAAAATCCTATTTTTTTAGCGTTTAGGAGAGAAATAAAGATTTCCGGAATACATGACACCTTTGTGTGGTCAATTTATCATCTCGTTCACCGTATCATAGACACACATATACATATAAATTTCACCGGACTTTAGAA